TATCCGACTGGAAAGAGTTATTAAACCTAAATATCGTATTTGTTAGCCTTGCACCTTATCGATCGTTTAACATAGATTCATTTATCCCTATCATCTTTACTAATAAAAACAAGATCTTGTTGCATTTCTGGGTATGTGATTTGTGCTTTTTATTCACGCTTCGATTATTGTCCTTATGGTTGTTCATTGTAAACTTATTGATGCACTTGAATTCAACTGAGATAAGATAGATATCCTATCCCCGATAGAAGAAAGAAACTGTTATTATGGAACGTTAAAAGAACTATATATAGAGGGCACTATGAGTTATAGCTCATTCAAAATCAAAATGACTTCATACCGTTGTCTGTTGTTTTTCTAGTGTCATTCATTTGATTAAAATTCTAGTTTAATTAGAAATCATACGCTTCTCTGTTTTGTCTATTGTTTTTATGTATCATGCACAGCACATTCATCACATTTTTTTTCTTCTTTTTCTCAATAAAATAAATAAAAGTTATGGAATAATAAAGGAGCTCGACGAACGTTTACAACACGGGAAAAAATAACAGCACGAGCGCGTTTAGTTTTTCATTCTTCTATTCTTTTTTTTTTGTTCATTCGTCCTCGAGTATTAACGGAACAGAAGAAAAAGGCAGGATCTCATTTTTCAAGTAAAATAGAGAGTTTTACTATTAGAAAATTACTGATGAGAGAAACAGTGGGATAACGGCGCAACCTTAATCGTTAATACAATTTTTGAAAGAAGAACAAGAAGGAAAAACGTCGTCTATTATTCTATTTTATTCTAAACCGAAATAAAGAAAAAAATAGTGCTCAACGAGAATATTTATGAAACACATAGAAAATGATTTCTTCATTCCACGAGTGAAAGAAAAATAGAAAACAAAACTACAGTATATCCATGTTTATACACGATAGAGAAAGAAAAAAACTACAATTAGTTGACGAAGATCGGAAATCGCTTTCCTCTAGAAAAATGGAATCAATTGAAATATGAAAACTGGAAAAAAAGAAAAAACTTACACATAACGAAGATTATTTTTTTTTCTGCTCTTCTGTCATATACCAATGCTCTAAGATATACAATTTAACAACTATGTGTATGATCAATTTGGGATAACTGATTTCCTGTCTAAGAGAAAATCCTAATGTTTTTCAAGCACAAATACACGTCTGACTATGTCGATGCATGTATATGTTCACTCGAGACAAATCAAAATAAAATAAAAAATAACAATAACAACAAGAAATTGTGTTAAAATAAAAATGAAAATATTTCATGTATAATTTTATTTGACCCTAATCTATTCAGAAAAGAAAAACTTTGTTTAAAAGAATATGCCATTCACTTTTTTGTGTTAGATTACTTGACAGAAAAGTATATAACAAATATAGAGAAAATAACTTCTTTTATCGGACAAAATTATGTTTCGTGCTAAACTTACGTTTTACTCAACGATAAAGTCACCAGAGAGATACAGAAATGTATATGCTGTCTTTCACATGTGTATGATGTCACATTCAACTTACCAGAGGCAGTCATGTGACCGGCGACCGGCCAGTTTAAACCGATCTACGCCGATCCAGTCGAGGAAAAAGACGTAAACCGGCCGGTTGACCGACGACCAATCACACTTGGCCGGCCCGGTCCGGTTCAAAGTTTTACACTGGTTACCTGTCCGGTCGACAAAAATTTTGACCAGTTACATCTATGACCAGGGGAGTAGGTCAATTCTGATGTACATATGAAACAACGCACAAAAAATCCAACGAATTGTTCATATTAGTTGCCCGGTTCTTAAGAAAAGTGGCCATTTGTAAGCAAATAATATTTTCTCCAAAAAGTATGAACTAAAGGTATCGTACTGTATAATGAATCGTATCCAAAATTAGATCCATTTGACAGTTATCAAAACGATTATACAATTAATGCAAGGAACAATATTTAGTTAAATGTTTAAACCTGCTGATTTAAAAATAGAAATCTGTTGTCAGTACCCGTATCCGACAACCTTCTATTCAATACCCATCCACAGTATTGAGTACCGGTCTGGCAGCCCATCTCTAATTTAGAACGTGCAATCAGTAAAAACAATGAATGTTAAACAAAAAAGATATTATGATGTCTGATTTTGGAAAATTTTCTTCTATCTTGCAATAAATAAAACGCTTGACTTCTGATACGTTTTGGACATTTGTGAATATGTAAGATTCAAAAAGATTTTCGGCTTCTTATTTTGTCAATGAATTTTTTAGACTATACACGATTACGATCAAATGTGTGAGGGATAATGGTTTAGTAGATGAAGTAAACCTAATACTTAAATTTTGATCCTTTATTGTGGTTATATGTTATTATTAAGGGACAAGGATCTTATCGAGTACGAGTTTAGAGCTAAAAAGAGAATGGTTGTCAATTGATGATCAAATTTGGCGTGAATAGAGAAAGATCTTATTAATTAAATGTTGCTGTTTGCCAATATGTTCGAATAATAAATTATGATCTATATATATAGTTGACATTGTGTGAAAAAATTATTGTGCAGAAAAAAAGTAGAACGATATATGGTATATCGAAAAAAGTAGAGCAAGACTAGATTTTTTCGGTGTCTACCAGGTTTTTTTGTCTTAAAGGCATATGATCTTTTGAAATATGGTACAAATAATGAATCAAGATCTGTTGGTGATGGTAAACCTGAATACAACATACATCAATCACGTAAATCCGGAAGCAAAAAGACAGAAGGACGACCTTTTGTGCGATAATAAATGACTAAACTCTTTACTTTTTGTGGAGTTGTTCCAGAATAAGTGATTGATAACGCTCGAAGAATTTGTGTTTCTAATATACCGACGGTCACATATGTGATTACATCTTCTCAAATACTTTATTCTCGACGCTTTATCTTTCTAACATGCAAATCCACAATGTTAGCCATTGTTTCTACACATTTTATTAAGAATATAGTTATTTTTATTATTTATGTATTGATATGCAAATACGAAGCAGCGCGCATATGAAAAATTCTACTTGAGAACTGTGTACAGACAATAGAAAAATATCTCTTTTCAAAATTGTTCTCTAAACAGCGTAAAAATTAAATCATTCATATTCTGTTCGCTCAGTCCAAACTCCATTCTCTTTTCATACTTTTCCTAGGGACTCATCAGGGATTTTGTGCTTGTCGAGGGGAGGAAGAGGAGTAAGAGAATTGATAATAGTCCCTGAGAATCCTCAGGAATTTCTGGGGGAGTGCATGATGCAAAGTGCGCAAAGGTTTTGATTCATATGAAATATTAGATCTCTTGAAATGAGTTTAGTTTTCAGCCGATATGAAAGCTAGCGTTGTTTACTTCATTCTGAGAGAATGAAATCAAGTAACAAACTACTTTCTTATCAAATTTTGCCGTAATTCGGCTAAAATTTTTCAGTTTAAAGCTTAGGAATGCTACAAGGGACTTGTGGAACACTTGTTAAAGGCAGAGAGTGACTTCTGGACGATGAAATACACTCTTTCTGTTCCTTCTAAGCGAGAATTGGATGAATACAATAAAAGCTTGGACTTGTTAGTAGGAGAAGACATGATGCTGGATTTTTGAATGTTCTTATTTTCTGTTTAATAACCTTTAGAGAGCCCGTAACGGAGCTCCTCAGGGATTTCTTTGAAGACTCTGGAGGTTTCATTGGGCAGAGTGGGCTAGACACGCGTAGGTTCATGTAACAACCTTCGTGAGAAAGAATAAAACCAAATTATAGTTTCTGAGAATAAGATCAACTATAGTATGGCATCAGCATTGTTTCCGCATGGAAATTGTTTGATGATACGAAAATGTTCACATAATTTTTCAATGCAATGGTTTCATGTTGTTTAGTTATTATGGGAAAATTGCAGTTTTATTAGCAAAAATATGACTCTTAACACGAGACGAAAATTGTACGGGTTTCAAGAATAGATATCCGGAGTAATCCACCATGTACTCACTTTGAATGAAAAGATCTATAAATTTAACAAGAAGGCCTTAAGAATTCATTCCTGCTACATCTCAACTTGGAGGTTCTTGAAAAAGTCTCGTTTAAGAAAAATCGACCTATTCCTTGGGTGGATTTTTGTTAAAAACGTCTTTTGCGATTCTGTTCCGGCCACTTTCCGCACACTTATTTTTAAAAGCAAACGTGGATTTCTACACAACTCGACACGGCCTACAAATCAACATAGTGAGATCTGAGCGGCTCGAAGTCGTGTAAAAAGTGGGTGGAGCTGCGTGAAAACACTCATCTACGCTTAGAATCCATACAATTATTGGCAATGTAAAAGGGTTCTGAGAGTTTCTATAGGCGGCCGGATTTTTGAGTTTCATTTCGGAAGGTAAGGACTATAACTAAGGATACTTGAGAAACCTGAAAGAAGTTTTAATAATATTGGCAAAAAATGTTTCGTGTTAATGAGTGATACAAAATTTAAAAAATCCGCCTCCATACTTCCAAAACAATAACAGTTTTCTGCAAAATGAAACCATCCTGAGCTTCGTAGCACTTAAAGGAAGTGGAAATTGAGAGAAACTGCAACTGTTCCACCTTTAACTTTAAAAAAGCGATCTTCGTTGGTCTTAAAACGAAGAATCAGTCTTCTTTCTTTTCAGGAATCGCCTGTTGGCTGTTCTACAGTAGTTCGAATGAAATCTTTTTCTCATTGAAACGTTCGATCAAAATTCAAATCAGATAAATTTTCTCACCCTTCATGTCACTATTGAAAGAGAGAGAATTGAATTATTAACAAACTCAATATTTAATTAACTACACAAACACTATTTGGGTATAGATCACAATTAAAAAGATTATAAGCATATTAGAATAGCATCAGAATGACACAGTCTGCAGTATATTCTTGTATTCGACTAATATTATAAAACAGTCAGGAAACAAAAAGACAACTGAACGAAAGATCATAAAATCATCGATCGTACCCATGAGAAACACTGTAACAAATGGTCTAGTGCTAATGATTCAATTTTGACCGTAGAGTGAGATGTGCATGTTTTCTAATTATATCGTTAAATTCTAGGAAATTCCATTTATCATCGGATATGAAACCCAGTCGAAAGGATTCTACAATAAATTTAAAGTCAAATGGCCAACAAATTTTAATTGACAACACGAATTTGTCTAATTTTGCAAAATACGTGAGTAATTGTTTCCATTGAGTACCATCAATATATTGTTCGTTGTACTGTTGTTCAATATCAATTAAAAGTGTTTGAAGACTTTTTAGAGTTTTAATTAAACAATAAAATTCTTGAAAGTGGAACATTTCAGATTCAAGAGATTTGGTTTTTTTTGATGATAAAAATCGTAAATGAAGTTCAGTTAAATTGGGAAGATTTAATCCTTGAAGATGAAAAATATTCACTCTCAATGTCCACTCAATACGAACATCTAATCGTTCAACATACGGTATACTATCACATAACATTAATAGATCATCAATACTTTTCAGTGGTATTGTTAAATCTCGAATATGAGAACAAATTGGTACTTGAATATCAAATTCAAATAAACTGTCAGACGATTGAAGAACAATCTTTTCTAACTGTTTACTTTTACGATGAAATATATTGTTGATGAATATTGGTTTATGAATATCATTAATTGATTCAAAATAAATATAAAGTTCAGTTAAATATTTCAGTCGTTTTAATCTAGTGAGTTTTGATAGGTCAGCTTCGTGTGTTAGCATATAAAAATTCTCATCAGATTTATCATTGTCACAATAGTTAAATGATAAATATTTTAGATTCGAAAATAATTTCACAAAGTTTATCTGAGCATTCAGTAATAATATTTCGACCATCCGTACGTTGGATATTGTCAAAGAAAGAACGTGAGTACCAATTGACGGAAAGATTACTTTATAATAAGTTACAAATTCGTTGAATAGTATGTCATTGATATCGATTTTTTGCATAAATTCTCTTATTGTTTGATCAAAACGATTATTAAGACCTGTGAAAGCTAATAATATCTCATATTGATTTAAATACGAGCATATAATCAATAATAACTCGTCAGGTAATTGTTCAAGTGACATTTTATTATGATAAAAACTCTAAACCAGATAACATCTTATTTTCAATTTCTTTCTTTTTTTTGTCATATTTAAACAGAAAAACAAAAAATCTCGTTCATGAAGTCATTTTTACGCTTTCTTTTTCGTGTTATCTGTTCTTCAAAGCTTTTTTCGAATTAGTCCTTTTTAACTTGCAGTTTATCACTTTTTTCTCGAGAAAAGCTATTATTCTTACTTTAAAAACTTTCCTTTTTACGCTCAGGTAAATAACAATCAATCTAGTGTAAAACATCTTTGTGACATCCGTATGGCTGATATTCTGACCCTTGTCAGACATGACTTACTTTTAATGGCTATTCATCGGAGTGTAGGTGAGAATAGAGCTATTTTGACAAAAAACTTAAATATACATTTCTGGGTAATGGTATGTAGGTATTGATTCATTAGCCATACAGTTGTAGATTGTGAAGGTGTGCATGGATCAGTTAAGTAGTATCCCAGTCTTAGACATAGAAGTGATAATGTCCTAGAAAGTAGAAATATAACAACAAGCGTCTTTTTTACTTATGTAAAAAAAACATTTATTGATCGTTTAATTGGAATTCTGACGTGTAAGTCTTCTTTTTCTGTATGTCACATATTCAGCACATTTTAATGCGGTGCATATGTTGACATTCACACGCATCTGTTATGATAGAACGAAAAAAGGAATCAAACGAAAAAACAGAAACGTTTCGCTTATTTGCGTGGGAATGAATTACTATCCTGGGGGCCGTATCACAAACAAACTTACATCTGACTTAAGTCTTCGTTATGTGCACTTACGTGCTAATTTTTATAAAATACATACTTATATATTTTATAAGTCTGACTTAAGTCTAGACTTTGACTTAAGCTTTTTCGTGATACGATCTTGCCTAGAAAGACAAACGGCACAAAAAGACGAAGAAAATGCGAGAAAAAAATCCTTTTCTTTTCTTCTGCACAGGCTTGAACTAATGTCACATTTGTATTTCTGTATGGGAATAACGACGATACGCTATACGCTAAGCCTTTAATAGAGCCTTAGCGTATAGCGCTTTATCTTCTTTTTAATGTCGCATACAGAAGCTTGTATGTGGACATATGCATATCTTGTCATATGTGAGATAAAGAAGATACGCTGTTATGGCTCTATTAGGAGATATTAGAGTTTTCTCTATTAGCGTCTTTACCTTCTTAGTGATGTTGCATCAAGATATCTGTATGTCAGACATAAGGATACCTAAGGATACCTACAGAACGGAAAGAGTGCTCTGCATGTGACATCAAGAAAAAGATAAAGATATGCTAAAAGAGAAAACTTTATTCGGAAAAGAAGAGATCCTTATCTATCCTCTTTATCGATATGTGTCATATATAAAGATAAAGACAAATACACTAGAGTTCTAATATTTGAATAGCATTTCTAATAATTTCTTTCGATTGATGCGTTGACAATAGCTATCTCACTTTGAAGAAGATTGTATTGAGGAAGAGAGTGTCAAAACTAGCTCAAGAATGGCGCGCCACCTACGGCGTAAGAGAAAAATATGAATCCCTCTGGAACGTGATCATCCACTTCGGTGAAGTCAACATTTACAGTTAAGAGGATCGAGAACATGTATTGATTGTTAGCATCATCTAACATGCTTGCAAAAGAATGGTTGGTTTTCGTATCCAATAAAGAACTATTATAGTGCGCTGTGTGTTCTCTGTTATACGGTACTTATATACAGAGATCTTATATCAAAAATACTTTTTCCTTAGATAAAAAGCTGTTATATTCGAATTTTAAATCCTAATAGATTTCTGGATCGCATGGATATATCTAGTTTTTCGCTGCATCCACTGTCGTTCGTTATAGATTTACTTTCATTTGTAATGACAGATGTTGAAAAAATATTTGCGCTCACTTGAATCAGCAGTACTCACATGTAAGTAACTAGTGTGATCATCAAGCTGAAAACATTAATTTTGATTTCCGTTCTGTTGGTAGATCATTCCGTCAAATCGATATGGGTATGTATAGTTTTATTATTGCTTCTTTATTTATTATCGAACACGTCCTAGTAGATGATTTATAGGCGTGTTCTAGTATTTTTCCAAAAATTAGACATCGGTGTCGTTGTTTGAGTTAATCATCTCACATGTGCTGATTATTATTTTTTAAACTTTTCTAGTCTTCAAAATATTTTTATTTAATGTTTTATTGTAGCATAAACCAATTCAGTTGGAGCTTAGTGCTGCGTCATCAACATTATCTAGAAAGGAAAATTCGTCTTATCGCGATGGAAATGAAAACGATGAAGACAAGTTTAAAATTAGGTCTAAGAAGCAACCTCAACGACGAGCAGATTATCGTACATTTCATGAGATTACTACACGTTGGGCGGACAACGATGCATTTGGACACGTTAATAATGCCACGTATTACGAATTCTTCGATACAGCAATAACTCATTGGCTATACACTAAAAATCTAATGCACCCGATAAAGGGTGACCATGTTTTTGTTGCAGTCGAAACGGGTTGTGTATTTCTACATCAAGTCGCATATCCTGATCGAATTACAATGGGTTTAAGAATTGCACGACTGGGCAATACCTCAGTGAGATGGGAATTAGCTGTGTTTCGAGACGATGTCGATACATCTGCCGCCGAAGGACATTTCGTTCACGTATATGTTAAGCGTGATGATCGACGACCGGTAATAATACCCGATCATGTGCGGAAATTACTGTCACCAATGGTCATGACGAAAGTATGAAGTAAGGGATACGCAGCGACCAACGTTCATGAGTAATGGGCTGCCTTGAACTTGTATCATAAAGTTTCTTCAACAAGTTTTGTTTTGCTTGCAGGAGTTTTTACTTATTTAAGGTTTTTAATTATTGTTTTTCCGCTGTGCGTTAACCGTCAACTAGAATATAAAATTCACAAGTATTTTTTTATTTGACTGAACTGATCTTACATGTTTTTAATACCACTTCACTTGGATCATTCAAACTTGTTGAAGTTTTAAATTATCTTAATACTGTCACAGTATAATGGGCATTTGCTCTTGCAATATTGATCTTTCCATCTAGTGCTAGAATTCAATTTGTCGTATCTGTTGTTTGTACATCACATTGCCCTAAAAATGTTATCATCATCAAATAGTGTTTATTCATGATTGAATAATTGTATCGTACGATATGAATCACTCATACCGTTTAAGGAAATGGCCAACGCATTAAGTATTTTGATTCGTTTATCAGACTTTGACAATAATGATTTGATTTGAACGAAAATAAACGTTTATGGAATTCAACCGATAAATGAACTCAAATTTCTTTTGATTCAAGTCCACTCGCTGTAAACGGATCTTTGCCAAAATTAAATCAGTGAACAGCAACCGCTTGTCTTCATTAATCATCAGATGTTATTTTCAACACTGTGCTGAAAATAAGTAAAAGGTTTTTTATCTAAACTATAAACATAACGATAATTAAATACACTGAAGGCAGTATGAAAAACTCGTTTTAGAAAAATAAAAAGACAAGTCGATGAATTTATAAAACTATAATAATATTAATTATCGATACATTTCCAATTAACGTGTTATTTTTTTTTTGGTAATTCTACATGAGTTAATATTACCAGTACATTACATTAATACTTAACGATTTTAAAAACTGTCAAATAAATATTTTCAATGATAATGTATTATTGAATCATTTATCACTCACTTGAATAAAACGTCTATTAAACTTACATCCTATCTTTACGGAAAACTGGCGATGAACAAATGATTATATGAGTGTACTTTTGAGATGGTAATCCGAAAGATATAATAACTATAAGAAGAACAATAATGATGCTAAACTAGATAAAATCATATTTTTAGTGATGTATCCGTTATAAAGAGATCGCAGCTGTTAACCACCAGTAAGTACATAAGATGACACATTAACTTCATTTTAATTCTATTGTCTGCTTTTTTTTGTTAAAGTTATGGATGAAAACCGGATATATATTAGACAAACCCATAATCTTAATACACTAAATCTTGATCGATAACTATTGCTCTGAACATTTAATGATGAGATAAGCTGGAGAACATGTTTTTGTGTAGGAATGTAACGGATGTTTAAGTTGAACAACGTGTGTGTCATAGCGCATTATTTTAATTTTCACTATCGAAAAAAGTTTGCATGAAAATGAACAACATTGTATACTGGACGTTAGCTTGACAAATAGGCTTAACTGAATGACTATAATATACTGTCTTATTGAAACGATTAAGAGCCAATAATTTGATTACAATAGTTTAAACCCTTTGAGTATCAGTATCCCGAATCTGGGACGCTTTTTTAATTCCTGATTCCTCAGTAAAAAAAATGAGTTTTAACTGAAACTATTACATAAAAAAGTTAATCAGAATATAATATACAAATCGACATCAAATTTAACAAAAAAAGACAAATGTTTTTCTGAAGCTTTTAATATTTTAATAAATTAGTTTTGAGAGTCGACGTAACGGAGTGCAATAACATAACAGAATGGTCGACCATATTTTCTAACATAAAAACGGTCTAAAAGATTCAAAAAGTGTGTAGTGTATTAGAATCACAGTTTTATGCTCATTTCGAATATGCGTTCAGAACTTCCGTAGTGCTTTGTTATGAAACACAACATGTGCAACAATAAAAGTCTCAAAAATTTTCTACTGACGGAAAAAGCCCGCCTATTGTTCACTAATAGATTTGTGTAATGCAATGTTCCAGATATTTCAAATATGCAGGGTTATAGCACAAAGATTTTTCTACAAAATACTGTATAAAAATAATTTAATAGATGTAAGCGGCTTGTCCACGTAACGCGCTACTTCGCTGATCAAGTTTTTTTTTCATGTTTTTTACTCGATCAATCGGTAGAGGCACATCATTAGACGCAGTTTTGCACTGATTACGAATCTGACATTTGTTTTTAAAGAATTCAATTCTCTACAAAATGGCTTACTCAGTTTTTGAGTTTTGAGACTTTAGAAAAAAATGAAATTTTTTGAAAAGAGTTAAGTTTTTGGAAATATCCAAGGACGAAATTTTTGAAATTAATGATTCGCAGTGTTAAAATCGTTTCCCAACAATTTTCTATAGTGCATTGGAAAGAGTACACAGAAATCTATCTCGCTGTACAAAAATGAAAGTTTTTGAACAAGGTTTAGTGCTTCAAAACGAGATGAGAAAAGATGATCAAAGATGAGAAAAAAAAAACGTTACTGCATAAGGGAATAAAACCCTGTTTCAGGCTCGCAGAAAATAGTTAGGAGAAAAATCTTTTTACCAACGTGTAGGCCGTTGTGCGCTATACAACTTTTGTCTCATTCAAAATTTCCAGAGTGTCTTAGATCACCGAGAAAATCGCAATTTGTTCTGTCCTTCAAAAACTATGGGCCTTTTTTTATTATTGCGTACCCATGTAAATCGAATGCGTCTGAAGGAACGCGTTTCATTTCGAAAAGACGCGTTCAGGCGCGTTTTTTTCGATAAACAGTCTTCAGACGCGTCCAGGCGTCTGAATTTATTTACAAAAGAAATTTATGAGACTTTTCACATTGCGCGTGCAGCGTTGTATAGCAAAGTGCTACAGAAGTTCTGAAAACATAGTCAAAATGAGGGTAAAATTCTGATCCTAGTGCGTCCCTGTTCGATCTTTTACAGCGTTTTTATATTACTTTGATACTGAATGGGTTAAATTAACAGCAGTCATGATTAAATTTAAATTTATTAATTAAAAATCAAACGTTTCGACTCTTTTTAGAATCATTTTCTTTTAGAATGAAAATCAAGCAAGTCCATCAGTGGTCAAACTAAATAAATCGTGAAGTTTTCCTGAGATACGCGTTTTTCAAACTCCGATGAAAACAACCTAACACTCGACATGGTCGATAACTTATTTTTACTGATACTAAAGAAACTAAATGGTACATTGCGGTACCGTAAAGTAACAATATATTGTGAAAAGCTGAGAGACGTCTCATTTTACAGATTAAAATCTAGCCTTTAAAATTCTCTAGATACTCATTTCGATTTAGTTGATCATTTTTTTAGATCAACATTCATTAATTTTGCTATGAGTTGTAAAAAATATATTTCGCAGAAAGTAGTCTTCGATATTTTAAGCATACCATTCTGACTTGAAACGAATCTGTATAGAAATTTGAAGCCGAGATTTTATTCTACAAAATGAGACGTCTCTCAGCTCTCTACAAGTGGACCGTTTACTTTCTTTAATAACAGGAAAAAGAGTAAAAGACAATGTACCGGATTTAGACGTGAAAAATATTTTGTAATAGTTTCATTTCACCACGATTGGTTTTTTCTCATTTGCTACTGTTGTGTATGTATAAGGGTCGGCATACAGCTACGTCAACTGTGTTTTCGAGACTCTGATATATTTAGATAGTATTTTTTATAATATGTTTGACACCTTTTTAAAGTTTAACGCGTTGTTGGAGTAAAAATTGTGGCAGTCTTAGAATTGCCTGATTTTGTAAATTGTAATTTATTTGGTAAAAATATTTCAGAGAAACAAATTCAAATTAGAAGAACAAAAATTATTATTACCATGCAATTCGCTCTAAAAGACATTTTGGATTTCGTCTTATGTACAATTTTCTCAGTTCATCTAATAAAAATAGTCCTGTACCAAATGCCAACGCTGGCAACACATAAATAAGCGGTACTTGTTCTGTTTTAAATATTTTTTGTGACCACGGTACTTGTGTTATCAATATACATGTGCCTATGGATAATAACATTGATAATAGAATCCATAAATTCTGTCCTTTTCCATAGAATGGATTATGTGAGAAGAATGATGCATATCGTGTTCGTGTTGTTAATAGATTGAATAATTGCATTATACATAAAGCCACATAATAAATACATTGACCCGTCTGATTTATTTTGGTTAATTCATCTTTAGTTTTATGAAGTTGTAGTGACTCAAATGTTTCATATTTGAAGAATATTGATGATAAAGGAATATTTTGTGATGTGTAATACCAGAAATAGCAAAAGAAAGCGGCGAAACATTCGATATTACCGATAATTATATAGGCATGAAATAATAACTTGAGATTTAATAAATGGGATTTAGTTCGAATAACAGGTGGACGACGCATAATATCTGACTCAGCTTTCTCACTAACCATAGCCAGTGACATAAAGACATCTAAAAACAGAAGATAGTTGTTGTTTATTACAAGTTAGAGTGAGATAACTAGCGTACCATTGAGCATACAAAAGACAGTTGCTTGAAAGGCAGACAGTGCTAATGGAATTCCAAGCCAAACATTGAAGAAGACAGGCCAAATCTCAGACCATGAGCCTAAAATTATATTGGATGATGGAGAGTGTGAGAATGATAATGGTCGTTAGTATATCATGCACAAATACCTCCTGGAAGTAGATAAATTGCCACTTTTTTCAAATTATCACTCAGTAATCTTCCCGTCTCGATAGCTTGAATAATTGACGAAAAATCATTATCCAGCAGTATCATATCACCAGCTTCTTTTGAAACATCCGTTCCTGACTGCATCGATACTCCTAGATCAGCTCGTTTCAATCCAGGTGCGTCATTGGTTCCGTCACCTGTTACAGCAACAATTTCACCTCGTCGTTGACATTCCATTACAATGCGAAGTTTCTGTTCTGGTGATGTTCGTGCAAATACAAGTTCTTGATGAGATAACACCCAATCCCAGAGATAATCATCCATTAACGGAATATTACTTCCTTGAACAACAACCCCATATGGAATTAATACTTGTTTATCACGTGATTTGGTCGCAACTGGTTCTGAGAAATACATTGTAATATTTCGCCACCATTGTTTAATTAAATGTCGTTCTTGTTTATCGCCACCATCAGTTATCAAAACAACTTTGCTCTTCTTTTTTGAAAAGCCAAAATCTAATTTTGTGATTTTGCCAAGTGTGTGTGTAGTTAATAAACTGTCATTTCTAAATAATTGAACTCCATTTGAACCACTGAATTTAAATGAATCAAGACCATTTTGAACACTTATTTCTTCACTCAAGATATTCACTGTTTTTGCTGTTGAAACAGCTGTAGTCGAATGATCACCTGTGACCTGTAAAAAGAAAAATAGTTCATATTTATTTATTATTATTTAATGGGTTATTCTCGCGAGTATTCTAAAACACTTACCATAGCGATTCGAATTTTTGCTTGTCTTGCTTTTAATACTGCATCTGGCACTTCTGGTCTTGGAGGATCGAGTAAAGAAAAGAGACCAATAAAACAGTACCCATTTCCTGGTAAACCACATAAATCTTCATGTTCCTCAGTTTTTACTGAATTAAGTCTTAGCTCATTATAATCCTGCATCAACTGTTCATATTCTGATTTTGACTTGATTTGTTGAAGTAAAGCAATCACACGATAACCAGATTTACCTAAATTATGGTCATGGTTGATTTTTGAATAACTGTTGATCGAAAGCAACTAAAAAGCTATCTAGCCTAGGGCTCAGATAGGGAATCTTTGATCATGACGCGAAAACTTAGTTAGAACGAATAATTTGTTTTTCTTTGATGGATTCATAGACCAGATCGCTCTTTTTAGAATGAAAATCAAGTAAGTCCATCATTGGTCAAACTAAATAAATCGTGAAGTTTTCCTGAGATATGCGTTTTTCAAACTCCGATAAAAACAACCTAACACTCGACATGGTCGATAAACCTATGCTCCATCTATTCTGAGGTTAGCGCACGATGGCGAAGGCCACTTTCGAGATTTCCAGGATACCTGACGCCACTGGTAAAGAATTACAAATGAACATTTACTTGACTCCCATTCTAAAGAGAACACTCGGGTCTGTCAATCCATCAAAGAAAAACAAATTATTCGTTCTAGCTAAGTTTTTGCATTACGATTAAAGATACACTGGAAAGTCTACTTAAATAAACGATTTTCAAACGTACTTTTGTATGGAAATCCATGAATGAGATAATCCAAAGTGTCCTCTTTAAAATGTGAAATAAATGACCTCTCAATTTTTGCTTGAGGCGTGGGATCGAATGTACTGATATCCTCAGAATTAATATTTCTTTAGATGTGGTAGTCCCAAAGATGAATGGAAACACAGATTATTTACTACGCTAAGCCCTGTGATAATGTGTTTTTACCCAGAAAATTGAAAAAACCGGTAATAACCTGTTTTGGGTTGTTTTCATGGAAACTTAATAAACGCATAACTCACTCAAAATCGATTTAAAGTACTTCAGAACATCAAGATAAACTCTATTTTATTTGCGCAATACCTTGCAAGTAAAATAAAATTTCAAAATAGATGAAAAGCATTCAAATTTTGAATAGATTTCCTAGAAATCATCGTAGATGAGAAAAATTTGTTTTTCACAGAACGACGTCTTTAACAATCGGATATGTCTATCTTGTTCCTAACACAAGTTACTTAAAAAATGATCACACGCACGGACTGTGTGGACTTACAGTAGTTCTGAAGCGTAACATCATTTATATCATACCCAATTGTTCCTGTCTAAAAGAAATTTGCTGCCTTATGTCATCGTTCAATTCTTTGATATGTCCATCATTCGATTTATACGTCCAACATCGTTCAGCCACAATATCTGGTGCACCTTTCATGGTGATTAAAACTTGTGCATTTTCACCTGGCGTTGAATCTCCTAGACGATTCGCTGTTATCATAAATTTATTTGTTGAATTAAATGGTAATCCATTTAAACGTTTATTTGTTGTTTTAATATGTTCAACATCCAATGAAAATTTATCTGCGCCCAAGGAATATAAAGCTAAATCAGCAGCATCACCAACTAATTGCATTTCATTATCTTTCATTTGTTTTTCAGCATCATTACATAGACAAGCACCTACTAATAAGTCTTGAAGTACAACTGGTTGAATTTGATTTAGTAATGAATACTGCGATTTTTTTGCTGTTGGTGGTAGTGATTGTGACTGATCACTCATACTCATACTTCGTCGAATCGCTGAGAAACGTTTAGCTATTGAACCAAATGTTGATAATTTCGCGTTTTGATCCAATGTTTCGGCTGTTGTTTCTCGGACTTTATATTCACCATTTATGTCCCATAATAAATGAGCAACAGACATTTTGTTTAATGTCAACGTGCCTAAAATAATTGTTTAGAATAATTTATAATTCATAATAATTGTTTGATAGAAATGACAACATATAATTCACTAACCTGTTTTATCTGTGCATATGATTGATGTTGAATTAAATGTCTCAACTGTTTGTAAACTTTTAACTAAAACTTTTTGTTTATACATTCGTTTAGCAACGATTGTTAGTACTAGAGTTACGGCTGCAGGTAAACCCATTGGTAAAAATCCAACGGTCATTCCAATACTGTTAACAATAACCTGATTAGCACTTAAAAATTCTTTATGATATATTTTTAACCAGAATATCCATGTTATCCAAATAGTGATAATAGCAATAACTGTGACACCAACAACAAATAAAACAAAACGATTTACTTCACGGTGTAAACCAGTTATTTCATCATTTTTACTACCGCTTCGTGTTAATTTGCTAACATTCCCTAAAATCATGTACATTAGCTCATTTATTAACTCATTCTGTTGTCGATTATGATCATAGTAATTGTCACCCAATTAGAAATATAAAATTGGTACTTACCAAGTACAGTTTTATCGCCAATTGCTGTTACTATTGCTTCTCCTCGTCCTTGCACAACCGATGATGAATAAAATAAAATATTTGTTGATTCCATATAATTCAAACTTGAACATTTAACGGTACACGCAACTGGTTTTGATTCGCCTGTTAACTCAGAATTATTTACTTTTAAACTATCACATGTGAGAATTCGACAATCGGCCGGTACTTTATCGCCAATTTTTAGTAAAATGATATCACCTGGTACCAATAGCTCAGCATGTATTTGTTGTTCGATATTTTGACGTCGAACAATCGCCAATGTTGGAGATATTTTTGTAAATGATGATATTATTTTTAATGATTTCATTTCTTGATATACATTCAAAACAGCATTTAATATAATAACTAATAATAGAACGATGCCCAAACCAAGATTTGTCTAAATAATGAAAAACGCTATACATTAGAGACAGTAAAATATTTCTTTGTTATCGATAAATGCAAATTTTTCTTTTAATCACTTGAATAGTTTTTCTAGAATAAAAAAGATGAATATAAAACTGTTACTTACTACATCTGGATCTGGTTCACCAAATGGTTTGTAAGCCAAAAATGCAAATATTCCAGCAATCCACAATATTCCATTAAAACCGATGAAGGCTTGTTGAATAAATAATTTAATATAGCCTGGTTGTGGTGGTTGAGTAAGTTTATTTGAACCATATTCTTCTTGTTTTGATATCACTTGTTGTTCTGTTAAACCCGTGTGGGAATCGGTTACACTTAATCGTTGGTAAACACTTTTCAATGGAACAATATGAATATCATTTGTTAATTTTAATTTATCACACCTGGAATATAATTCAATAATAGAATCATGACTTTCATTACTTCTAAATTCATCTAATTGTATAGAGGATGAATGAATCATTTTAAACAAAAATCAAGTTAACTTTTTATCATTGGCGAAATATTGTTCTAAAAAAGAGAAACAAACATAACACATTGTCCAGTAGAGAGTGAACGTATTAAACCAAAAACTAGAAAGAAAACTGGCTTGTGCGATCATGTCGAACAAAAGTGACTAATTTTCAAAAACTACATCTTGCTTAAGATGTGGACATTTTTAACATTTTCACAGACAAATATCGTGCTTCAGTAAATGTCCATCATTCTACTTACTTGCTACAACGGTATGGACTGATAGGTTTCTCGTTCTCTAATTTTGTACAGTTGTGACATTCTTTTCCTTTCATTCTTCGTCTCTTTCACGTTGAAGAAAAAACAACTATATAACTGACTTTTGTATAGCTAACTGACTTTTGTATGACTATTCTGATTTTAAAACTACATTCAAATGAGAAAATTTTAACGTTCAATTTGAATGTTGATTTTACCTCACAGGTATACACACATACACACACAAAGAGAGAGAGAGTGAGTGCATTATAAAACGGTCCACATTTATTTCTAATATCTTCTGACCCGTCATTAAAATTGTTAATAATAAATGAAAATACAATTGTATTATGTGTGCTCGTACCATTGATGTATCCAGTATATGAATACACGTTCATAATATATCCACTTTTTATATCGATCCTATTTGTTATATAACTATTTTAATTTTAGAACTATACATATAAGAAAACTTTAACGTTCAATTGAAATGTTGATTTAGTTCAAAAGGAGAAAGAGAATAACTGCATTTTTATTATTCGATGAGCATTGTTGTTTCGGATTCACGCTGAAAAATAAGTCACAATAGTTTGTGTACTCTAGTATTTATGCATAGTGTCTGGCATAATTTTGATTCTATGTAAGATCAGACTGAAACTATGTTGTGTATAAATTATTACTGTGAAAATCAATTTATGATTATATCATTATAAATAAATACTTTTTTCAATTTAAACTACTGAATTTGAAACAGTTCAACTGCTTCAATACTTGATGATCTGTTATAGACTGAAATTATTTAAAGGAAATGTTTTGCAATCAGAGACTATATTGTTTTTATTAGACTTTAGACTTTGTTACATACGTGTGGTTAATAATTGAAAAAGAACTACTACGTTAATATTACATATATTAAAGTTCATTGTGATAACAAGCAGTTATCATCAAACAGCTTCAGTAAATTAATTAAACTTGCACCGTCTTGCATAGAATGTGTTACTCAAGTAAGATATATATGAGACGATCATGTATAACTGTTGCACGAATCGATCAATTTTTTTTATATGTAATTAAAGTTAGAATAAAACGTAAAACTCTTCGTCTTTATCATTCAAATACTCCTCACTTTAGTTCTTTGTTTCCGTGTATATCCTTTCGCTTCGGAAGTGTTTTCACTTCACTTTCAAAAATAAAAAAGAGACCTGTTATCACAGGAAAACAACTGTTCTATAAGACACAAAAAATATCAGATGATTAGGCATTTTGCCAGTAAATATTTATATTTTTACTAGGAATTTTTAAAAACAATATCATTCACAGTAATATTAGTAATGCCGCTGAAATGATTATTTGTAAACCGCTACTTAAACATATTAACAAAATACGCTTCTTTTCTAGTTCTGATACCCTTTTACGCACAGCACAGGAAGCTACTTGAAAGAAAATCAAAGACTATTAGTATAGCCTCTGACTTTGTCATAACTTTTGACCATACTCCACTATCGGACTGCTTATCACCTCCGCTACCGGACGAAAAAAAATCAACCTGCAAAGCAAGTCACTTTCTATATTCTATCCATTATAGAGCCCATGAAAACAGATTTTTCAGTTCATGGACTCTAAAAAGTAATCCAGTCCAGTTCACAATACAAAACAACATGTTTTTTACTGATTATTCCTCGGTTCAAGTGAATCCAAATTTTCGAGTCCAGACCAGTCCTTGGTCTTGAAAGTTTGAGTCCAGTCCAACCCGAGTGTATGAGCTCAAAAAACTTTCAGCGCAGTCCAGTCTATAGGGAGATCTGGTAGAATCGCAACAACTTATTTAAATAAAAAGTGAATTGTGAAAAAGTCTTCATTTTAGCAAAGTTTCGATATTTTGTGCAGGTATATTTGTATACGTACGATACTTATTCTTGCACATGCTTTTGCCTATGGTATCTTCCTTTGATTACTTATGCTTCGAACAGTAATTTTTATTTTACTTTCTAGTTCGAAATAGAAACATCTCAAATCTAACTTTTAAAGAATTATTGTTTTAAGCTACTTTAAGGATGGACAGTAACGATGGGCCTATTGCATGAGTTAGTCTCGGTTATACCATAGATAGCCGAACCATTTGTCTGAAAGTCGACGCTTAAGTGTTTGAAGGCCATGGTCTGTCCGTAACTCACGCCAAGAAATGTCCTACACAGGTGCAAGTAAGGCTTAAACCTCGAGGTTCCACTACCAAACAATAAAAAAATATTCATTTTGAAAAACATATCACCAGCAGAGATGGGATCGATTCGTGTTTTTCTGCAACCGAACCGAAACTTTCTCAAATCGAACCGGTCCCACCTCTGTTACTCACTAATTTAAAGTGCTTCTGCTTTTGCTATACAGTGTTGAACTGTGTATATATTAATCTTTTTTGATTGTTTTTTTTTTAATTCATAATTTCATCTCAAATAGAGTAAGTTCCGTTTCGTTTTATACCGCCATTTTAGTACTTGTTTTACTAGTAGCATTACTATTATCGTTAATATCGCTCATTGACTTGTCAGCAGAAAAATCCGTCATGGAGTAATTGACTTCTAAGAATTTAGGCATCAGAATTTATTCATGGAGATGCTTACACAAATAACGGATCTCCTTCCAAGAGGAAAAAAGCAATTTCTGTATGTATGGTATGTTATTTTGTTATGCGATATGTAACGGGTATTTTGGGTATGTGACGGATGTTTTCGGTAGGTTGAGTACTATCTGTAAAGAAAAACAGTATCGTCGGTTGTTTTTTTGATAACTTTTGATAGAAAAAAGCTAGAGAGCTCCCGTTTTCACCATTCGAAAGAGGAGATATGGAGGCATGTTTTTATAACAAAATCTTCTGCAAAATCTATTAAAAAAAATTTTTTTTTTCGATTTTTCGATCTTATAATCACGTTTAGCGAAAATGTTAATCATATCCTGAAGTTCTAAACTCGTTCTGATGTTTTTTGAGCGAACAGTGAACTTTTTAATATTAGTTGAAAACAGCATGAAAACCCTAATTTTCACAAAACTCACTTTTCCGTAGATTTTTAAAACTTTTTCTAAAAGCAAACATTGTCACAAGACTCAGCATGGTTGATTATCCATAGTCCAGTCGCTTTCAAGGCTACTACTAGTCACCGGGTGCCAGTCCTGAGACTCGTCAATTCTCTATCAATTCATGAAAAAAATCCAGTCCAAAAGGACCAGAACTCCTTATTTCTTGTGTGTGACTGGTATGTAAGTATTTTTGATATGTGAATACTAGGTATGCGATCGGTGTCAACGGTATTTGTTTCGGTATTAATACTGCTTTTCCCTCTTCTCTCCTTCTTTCTGTGTTATAGGTAGATAATCCCAACCGTCCTATTCAAAATGAGAGCCAAGCGAGCTCATGGTTTTCCACGGTTAATCGTTTTTTCGGATTTTCTACGAGCTCTCGGGCTGATATCTGATAACTATCAATAACCTCGACAGCGAGTAAATTATAGATAATTGATTACGCTAAGTCTTGTGGCAATATTTGTTCTTGAATAAAAATTTAAAAATATTTGAAAAACCAAGTTTTATGAAAAATATTCATTTTCAAGTATTATCACGTAAAGTCAAATAATTTAAAATTTATTTTAAATAAGTTCAAATTACTTGAATATCCCAGGAAGGGATGGGTTCGCTGCTCCATATAGACAATTGACCCTAAGACCGAAATTTCGCTGAAAACGTTACACTAGTTTTCAATGTGGTTTTCTAAAAAACTTCGTAAACTCACTGGTTCTACACTTTTATTTCTGAAATGATGTTAAGCATGTTTAAATTGTGATAAATTTATTTTGAGAACTCAGCTACACAAGAATAATCGAAGTACGGATCTTATTTTAGTGCATTTAAAACAGTCCACATTTTATTTCTAATATCTTCTGACCCGCCATTAAAATTGTTAACAATAAATGAAAATACAATTGTATTATGTGTGCTCGTACCATTGATGTATCCAGTATATGAATACACGTTCATAATATATCCACTTTTCATATTGATCCCATTTATTAAAGGTAATGAATTGAAAAATGTTTGATACCATGTTTCTTTCTGTATTAAATAGAGCATTCGAGACATAGCATATGTCGTTATACGATTAGCTGGAGATAATCCCGAACCATCTATTGTTCGAACAGCTGTTGTTTCAATGTTACCATATGTAGAACAATACGTTGGTAATATTGTGTCTGGTGCATCCAATATTGAGCTCAATCCAGTTTTTTCCGCAATTTTTTTCACTAATAATTCACCATAAAGATTAACACTATTCTTTTCAAACCAATAGATTATTTTATCTAACGTTGGTGATCGATGTGTATCAATTGTTGTACGACTATCTTTATCTCGAAGTAGTTCTGTCTGATCGGTTAATGTCACTGTTGTGTAAACATGTTGAGCGATAATACCCTGTTTTAGCATAGCTTGTCTCAGTTCGGAGGCGACATACAATGGGGAATCAGGAATAGCGCCAGCGATCGAAAAATCTTTTGGGACATCAATTCCAACTGTCCCGCGTAAATACGCAGTGGTTGTATAAGGTGGAAGATAGACATAAGCATTATCACCACTTCCAGCTACACCTGTTATTAATTCATTGATAATATTCACATTTGGTGGTGGTGAATCCAAACGAACAAGCGTGACTTTATCACCGACAGATGTGCCCGGTTGTAAATACAACGTAAACTGATTTTCCCGCCAATTCAATGCACTATTTCCTGTTCCGTAATAATTTCTAAAAATAATTATAGTCTTTCATATTGTAACTTGAATTTTCATATACGGTATATTTATGGAAGCTCTAGACCATGAAAACGCAACTAGTAAATAGATAAATACTAATAAATACTAATATCAGAAGTAAATAGAACAAATACTGTTAGTACAAGATTGCATAGCATATCAAGTTACTCATGTTCACAGGTTATTGAACCTAAAAAATAAGTTTATCATTGAGTTATGAAAAATTCAGTTTTCCATCCAGCCAACATAAAAGTGATTGAGATTTTTCCCGATAAAATACTCAGGAGTTGATGAAAACTACTACGTTAGTTTCAGTAACTTATGTGCATAAGTAAGTTCATATATGAAACCTTGTACTAACAGACTTTGTTCAGACGAAAGTCCATGATAGGTTCTAGAGATTTTAAATTTGCATTGAGATTTTGAAAGGCTCTATGGGGAAGGAACGGATATTAGTTTCGTGAAGAGCTTCAAATAGTATTAGTAATCAAGTAGCTTTCAAGAAAAAATCGAGACGATGCTTGAAAAGCTTTCGCGAGTAGCAGATTTTTATTACATACCCCATATCTTGCCAGGTGTATCCATCGAGCATATTCTGTGAATCATTCCAAATTGTTGTGTCTCCGACGATACCTCTACATGTTTTAATACCTTCATAACGAATAGCATTTGTCCAATTAGTAAGAATTTTATCAGGTATTGTGTCGGCATAACGCGAACTGCCGAGTGTTGGATCTCCACTCCCTGCGAAAAGAGTAAGAAGATTTTGCAGCGCATCTTAAGCAATACGATGCTTTATACCCTTGATGTAAATATATCCGTCTAAATTGCCATAGTCATCTAATATTCCAGAATATTGTAGTAATGTTTCATAGACAAAATCTTTTCCAAGATAATGCAGTGCGGCTGCTCCAGTTATCGTTTTTAATGTTGAGGCGGATGCTAGTCCAACATCTGTATTTTGTTCAAACACAGTATTTCCACTAATACCATCTAAGACTGTTAACGAATATGTTGCATGAGATAACTGAGAATCGTTGGTGAAAGTATTCCACACTTGTTGAAAATCATCTATAGACGAAAACAAACAGATAATTGATAATAGAAAAGTGTAAGATTTAAAACTAATTACTTACTGCTTGGTACGCTATTCTGTTCACCGATATAATAAGCGTTAGTTTGAACCAGAACAATTACTATTGCACATATCAACCAATTCATAGAAGTAGTTATTCTCTTAAAATAGCAAACTTTCATCAGTCAATGTTTTTCAAGATATTTTTGAGTTGTTCTTATTATCCTGTCCCAAGAGACTATTTAATTTTCATTCCAAAAAAGTGTGTTTTACTCTTCTTACTTTTATATTTTGTAACATTTTGTTGGTTTGAAATTGAAAGTGAGGTGACACATGTATTAATATCAATATATTTTAGCGTCATTAACCTAAAGTAAAATATTTACTTTCGTCTTAATGTCGAATTTGAAATAAATTGAAAAATACTGTTGAAAAACAATACGATCATCATATAATGAAATCATTAAAAAGACGATATATAGTACTCCAAATTTAGGCTGAAAGTGCGGCTTAAATGTTTTAAGTATATCTCATACTTTTCTCAAATATAGATACAATGCTCAGCAGGTGCTTTAATATTAAACTGATGATATTTAGAGATATATTAATATTTTTAATTGTATAAAAATGGGCGTGGTTATGACTCATTTTACTGTACAATCTATTATTCTATTTCTTATATTATGTATAGTACTGAGTTTAACAGATATATTTTTGACGTATGAAAAAACACATTCAATATCTGTGTGAAACATACATTTTTTTTATTAAACATAATAATATATAAAATCTGACTTAAACTATAAAAAAAAAGAAAACTCGAGAGAAAAGAACAAAAACAAAAACAAAGTATAATTTTCAAAAAAAAAACATGTTTGCATTTCTTTGTACATCTTGCCCTATTTTGTTGATAATATAAATGGTTGTAATAATGTAAATAATAGCGGAATATGATCAAAACTATTGAATTTGACTTACTGTTCATAGACGAATACTTCGCATAGTACAGCTGTAAATAGTTTATTCCATCTATGTGTACTACCGTCCGCTTCAATATAAACATATCGTCCACGAATTGGACGTTGACATTGAAAATGTAAACGAGGTGTCAATAATGCTTGATTAGCTCGTGTTACATACGAACATAAATCAGAATTTTTAAAGCGATAACGACGAGGACGTAAATCGACATAGACACTATAACGGTCTAAATTGTATAAATAGTCACGATAAATTGTTGTATTTGTAGCTAAAATTAAAGAGAAAAAAAGAATATTTTAAAATTTTGATTTTTTTGCTAAAAAAACAGTTTGTCTTATATAGTACTTCGAGAACTGCATATGACAACTGTCAACTACCTTTATTTGAACCATGCCACGTTCGAACCATTACTCCCGACACTGATGTTACTCTTCCCAGATCTACCATCCACACTGGTTTTCTAACATAATAATTATCGATTGTAGCACATTTAGACCATTCTGAGTCTTCTGAACCGTCGACTGCCAACGATGGATCTCCGTTTGTTGCTCGTCCGCTACGCTGTTTATAATCGGTCGACGAAGCGGATGATAATTGACGATTACGATCGTTTGTCCAGGTCAATTTCTTATAAGCCATGTTTTCAACTACAAACGAGAAACAAAAGGAAAATTTGAAACGCAAAGAAACCATTGGAATTAAATTTTACCACATTGTGCTTCACTATTCACACGAAAATAGCCTGGAAAACATTGATCTAAATAGAAAATACAAATAACAGATAACAATTTATGGCTCTAACAGGTACGTGAACTTGAAACTACCTTGATGAGGACAACCGAGTACAGCTGCTCTCATTGCTACATGATTATGCCATTCTGTAGGATGTAGACGAACAAATCTAGCAAAAAATGGTTCATTTAAAAAATGAATACGTTCACTATCTCGATCGTTATTCGCAGCAAATTCCTAAAGAAAAAATAAGATAAGAAAATCGTTCACACCTGAAAAATATTTCATTTTACTTACTTTTGGATCTACATGACTTTTGTCTTTATAATAGAGCCAAAGGCGTGTATCATTACTAAATGATACTTTATATTTTGTAACCCATTGTTCTGGTGCAGTAGCATCTCCACGACCTTTTGTTATCAACGATGTAACAGTTGATGGGTGTCCAAGATCAAATTCTAACCATTGATCATGTTCTACAAGAGAAGAATAGTCTATTACAGTAAAGTCAAAATGCAGTTGTGTAGTTCAATCAAGCAGAAATAAATTGTACTTGTATTCCCCAAACAATATGATGACTCGACGTGTGAATATACTTAGTCATATTAGTATGATTAAACGTTAAATATGAATACTATCAACCTTTAGCCATATCATCTCGGATAATCTCTCTACTTGAAGTTAGCAAGTAAATTCAATAATAAATTATCATTTGCTATATCAAACAACTGAAAAATGGCCAACTAACAAATTTAATGATGATAGCGTATTTAACCCTTTCAGGACGAGAGTATCTTTTCAAAAAATAATCCCGCAAAAGTAGGGACACCTCGGCAACTCAAGAATCATGATAGCTAGGGGCTTCTAATTTTGTGTAGTAATAGCTCTTATCAAATGCTGAGCATCCACCAGCTGTAGACCCCTTTTACTGAATGGTTCGTGAGATATAAGCGATTTATTTCTTTTCCGTAAAGTATCAACAGCTCCTGACCTTAAAGAGATTAAAACTTTTTCTTTTTACAAAAATGTAGCCACGACTCTACTCTATTGATGAAATGAACTTTGTGAGTTGGCTGTTAGCAGTCAGTGGAATACAGCTATTTTACGGGCGAGAATCGCTTTTTTTTTGTTGAAAATTCGAGATTCTCTGCGAAAAAAGTCATAGTTTCGTCTAGGAGTATTACTTCGACTTCAAATTGACACTAAAGACTCTACAATGTTTGTAAACTATTTAGCCAAAGTATGAAGGTTAACTATTGTATGGTTCTGGAAATTCATTGAGGACAAGCACCCACGATTGCAACATACGTGGAAGGACGAGGGTGATGATCTAAGGGTAGTTCTTTCTACTATAGAATTTGTATTCAATGTACATCGTAATCATGGAAACCTATGGTTTCGAAAAACGTAGGTGAAACTTTTGTCAGAAAGCTTACACACTCATCTCTAACTTAGAGCAAAATTTTCAATGAAATTTTTTCGTTCGAAAATCGAGTGTTAAGTATACTGATCTCAAATATGTTATTAGTTTTGCTTGAAAATGTAGGGGGAGTGAAAGGGACGCAAAATAAGTGAAATAGCGAAGATCAGAGGTCAGTGCCCACTATAGTGGCCACCCGTCCTAAAAGGGTTAAATAAAAAAAAGGCAAACATGACTTACTATAGCGTTTTTTCGAACACCATCCTTTGTTGCTTAGAAGATGACCGTCTTCTGGTTGACAAGATGCACGTCTTCGATAAGGCCATGATGTTGAAGCACTTATTTTACCATAAGGTGGTAAGCCAAGATATTGTTTACATTCTTAAGAATAGATTATAGTAAGTAAATGAACCAACAGTTTTATATACCGACTAACAATACCTTGACATCCAATTATTTCCACTCTCAAACTAGGATGTTGATACCATTGAATTGTATGAAATTTAATAAATCGTGCAACAATTGGTTCATCAAAATAATTATGGCGAACAGTATAAGGATCTGTATTACCAGCAAACACCTAAAAACGATAGAAGTAAATAGTGTATAGTTTTAATTCCATTTTAATTGTGGATGAATCTCCGAATTACCTTTTGATTTCCATATCTGTCAACAATATATTGCCATCGGAATGCATCGGTACTATACGATATCATAAATGATGTAACATATTCATCTTTATTCGCTCTTCCTTGAATTAACACTCCAGAAATCTAGAAAGTCAAAAAATCAATCTAATTCAGTTTTTTCCTATAAAGATGTTCAATAACCTTTGCTGATATTCCCAAATCAATTTGAAGCCACTCAGAATCTGATTTTTGTTTAGCACACCAAGCACGATCATTCGGTTGATATAATCGAGAATTTTTTTCATGACAATCTGGATCCCATGATGAAGATGAAGATGTTATTTGCCAATCACGAATTTCGCCCGTTGTCATACCTAATGGACCATTGCAGACTAAAATAATGGAAAGATAAACTTAAAATTTGATAGAATAAATAGAGTGATGGCAATGCTAACCTTGTGTACTTGTCTGACATAAAATAGGATGATAAAAAATAATTGAAATAATACATAATAAACAATTTGTAGAAAACATCTTCAAACGTTTCCTAGTTTTCATCTGAAGAGAATGAGCAAGGAATTATCGAATAAATTACTGATTGATAGACAGGCATAACCATATTTTAGAATAAGTTCAGAATAACTAATGATAAGCATAATTTATAGAATTTGATAAATTTTTTACAACAAAAATCTAACAAGATTTGAAGTAATATGTGATAGACTATGACAAAAAGCAAAAATTAAATACTTTTTTAGAATATGCCACAGTAGATGTAAATGTACTTTTTAATAATTGTTCAAATTATCGAAAAATATACAGATAAAGACAATAAATAACATAGAAATTAAGCATTAGATTGAAGTTAAATTAACGATTGGTAGCAGTAGACACCTAAATTAATTTCTTACTGTTCAGTTTTGTTTCTTAGCAGAACTATTTGTAATTAAACATCAGATATCTCGCATCTATGTCTGAAAACAACAACATTCTGCTTTTGTGCGTATGTGTGTATATATATGTATACATACACACATATAATTATAGGCGTGTCCGATTTCTGTTCAATTTTAATTGTTGATGTATATAAATAAAACACATTTCACATTCAAGCTAAAACAGTTGAGTCGCGTCTAACAACACCGATTATCGTATCGTACATGTTTCTATTATTATTATTATTATTATTAAACATTTTTACAAAAAACAAAATGTCTTAAGAATATTACACTGTCTATAATAGTGGAAATTTCTACTAGTAGTTTTTGGTTAGTTAATGTTTTCATTTCATTGCCTCTTAAAGATAAAAAAGACGAAATAATTTCGATGTAGCAGTATCTGTGTCTCTTTTTGTTGTCATAGTTTGATGACCTTATTCCTCCTTATTTAAAATGAGTCGTTGATTTTCGTTTTGAAATTTAATATACTTTCCATATTGATAAGTATATCTACATAGAATACGACAACAAACAAATTCTCATTTCTTGATTTCTTGTTTTCTCTTCTAAATCACCTTGACCTTGACACTTGCGGTGTTTCTCTTGTTGTATACATGTATACGAGTGTATATGATCATCTAATCCTTTTGACATCGTTATGTTCAAAAACAGAGTACATACATACGAATGTAACAGATACTTTCAAGTTTACAATTGACAATATTTGAGCTGACTGGCGCATCAAGAGACGTTTATCAGTTCAAGTCAAAATTGTAACAAAGGAAAATGCCCTGTACTTCAGAGCCCTGCAGGTTAAACCTAACCTAATCTAACCTATAGGTTAGGTTAGGATTAGACTACAAAAGTTATAGGATAGGTTAGGTTGGGACTAGATTACCGACTTCATAGGTTAGATTTGGTTTAGGTTGTGTAATTTTGTATAGGTTAGGTTACAGGTTGCCAAAAAGTGGCAACCTGCAGAGTTCTGCTGTATTTGTCTCAGATTAGTCTGAAACATTGCTGTATCATTTTTTCGAAGAAGAAGAACTGAAAAACTCCTTTTTAGTGCAAAAAAGAGCACTGTTTATTATAGTAAAGCCATAAATGCAACTATGTTAAGAGCGTTTAACTAGATAGCTCAATGTATCTCAACATGGATCGATTTAAAAGAATAACTTTTGTTACTAAAATACACTTCTATTCAATTATATCTTAAAAAATATCTTGTGTTATATACACCATCAGCATCTAAAACTGAGAGGAATTGGTATCATTACTGTGTATTCTTATTACATGTAATTATATACACTCAACTTACCTGTTTTTTGCGACAATATATTACAGGGTTCCTTTTTATATTTTCCATATCAAATGAACAAAAATAATACATACTGTCTTTCTTTTCTTTCTATAGGTTTAATAAGAATTGTGGTGACACATGTATTCTGCGCTTTTCTTTTTTTTCTACAATAATTATCAAGAGACGTATTATACGGAAACGACTATTCTCGTAAGAACAATGTCCTCTAATGATGGTCAAGGACGATGACCAATCGTTTTAGAGTACAAAAAAAAGAAAGAAGAAGAACAGTCTATTCCCAGCAGACATATGTACAGTTGTATACTCTAAACACTACATAAAACTGATTACATCACACTACACATAATTAATTACATGTTTCTACAAATTAATGACATGATTCAATAGACAATAATAAAGATCATATTTCTCTCCATCTCATTGAACATGCTACAGATTACAAAATAATAATTTTTCAGTAATAGTTTTTACTAGACGAAATATTGGATGATTTGTTCGCACTATCAATCGACTCGAAACATATTTTCAGAATCTGTTAAAAAAATCTAAATTAAAGCGTCAAACGATATACATACACAGAAAAAATAATCATTGTCGACTACGTTTTTGTTTAGAATATTTTATTTTTATTTTTTTTCTTCATTACTAACATGAATAACCCATGTTAGCTATGATTAAACATAGAAAATTTCAAAACGAATTAATTAACTGAATAACTAGAAAACTTCTGAATGAATAAGTAAAGATTAGTCTAAACAGTTGATGTTTATTACGTATATATGACGAATGGTGTAGGTATTATCTTCTTTAAAACCCTAACACTATTTAACCTTTTTGAAAAAACAAAAATTTAAATCATTCTTATTCAAACTAATACAATAAAAAGGATTCGAATGATCTTTTCACGCCGGCTATATCCTCTTTCTTTTCTTACTAAATCAAACAATCACAGTTTGATCTAAATTTATTTTGTAATAAAACAATTCTTCTTCATTTTACTAATTGTTTTTTATAGAGCTGCTGTTGCATTTCTATTGCCCGACACTACTAAATGGATGATTTAATTTAGCTTTATTTTATATAAAATAAAACTACTGTAAAACTTTTGATTTTTTATGTCACATGTACATATAGTCTGAAAAGAATGAATGATTATGTTTTTTTGAATTGGGACCACCGACAATGATTATGTTCATTGTACAGAAGAGAGAAAGTATCAATAACTGAATGATGTAATAATATTAATACTGTCATTTTATACAAATTACCAACTGTGAATGGATGCACATACACACACACACACGCACACACACATATACAACACATCAGTGATCAAGAATTTGTCACACAAGGAAACACATATCACAGCAGGCGAGTTCCTGTTGATGTCATCAAAATTCAATTCACCTTCTTAGGTGTTGAATTTTAAGAGACATTCTCTACTTTGTATGTACTAAATACGAAAAAATCTTCGTTAAGAATAAGATGATCTTTCTCTAATCATATGCTTTTCAAAATTTAGAAAATATTGTTCAGTAAAAAGGTTGTACAACCGAAGAAGGGATAAATTAATATTCATGAAATGGACATAATCCAGTTTAAGAAGAATGATGATAAATAAGAAGGAAGCACGCTACTAATATCATTATGCATATATAGATCTGTTACGTCAACAAATTTCAAATAAAATAATCGCTTTATTATAACTACTACAAACATTTTGTTTACTATACTCTGATATTCGTCATTTATGCCTATAGGGGTCTAAAAACCAGATGGCTAAGAGGGCGGCTCAATTTTATTTGAAATACTAAAAGCCACTACTACTATGACTGATAATAATAGGTGTATATATATATATATATACAGATGAACATTTTAATATAAAATGAAAATGGACAACAATTGTTTGATTAATAGAGAACGGCTAATGATGATGATAGATACATTGTACATACTTTGTTTCAATGATAGAAAAAAAAAGAAAGTCATTGATGATGAGTGGAGTAGTGTTTTAGTATTAAAAAATATATACAGTGATGGATAGATTTAACTATGATATTGTCTATAGATGATAATTATATAAAATTTTTCAAAGTCAATATTTCTCTTAAGAAGTCTGTATAATAGGTTTATGTAATTGTCACAATTATATTAATGAAAGTAAGACTCTTATGGATTGAAAAATCTACTATATTACACCAAAACAAAGTTTCATTAATCAATATATTTACGCAAGAACTGGAAATACTTGACTTCTTTCTTTTTTTTTTTCTTCAAAAGATTATTCAAATCTGTTTCTATCAAATGTAACATGTTGTCGTTTATTTTATGCCTTTAGTTATTCTTCTTATTCATGAACAATAATGAGCAATCGCAACTGATTTAAAAAGAATATAGTACACTTGAACAATTTCTTCGTATTTTTATAAAAAGCATTATAATTGCACTTCGTTATTAAGAAAAACACAACAACAAAAAATGTCAATGTAATATTACACATACACACACACAGTGTGATTAACACTCTCTTACATCGAATACCTTAAATCTATTTTCTGCTCATTAATTATTGTTAATAATAAATTATTCCCGAAATGATGATCAAGGATGATTATGATAATAATGTTTAAATGTTAAATGATAATCGAACTTGACAGTATAAATGTGTGTGTGACAATGTTCATACGACGACAACTGATATTTTATCGAATTTGAACATCTTTCGTGTTTTCTTATGTTCTATTGGCAATGATTATGTCAAATGTATACAAAAAATTTTAAAACTACTAACATAAATGTGCAATATTAATAAGTATTTTAGTAGGCTTTGTTGATTAGGATAAAATGTTCTAAATCGTGCACTAACCAGAGATGATTATCAATCTGATATCTATCTGTCAAGTACTATTTAGTAGAAAACTGATCTCTGGGATATAAAATTAAACTTTTTGCTCTAAGAGAAACGCGCTTTTCTCTAATATTAAAAATGCTTATTATTTACTGAAAACTTAATAGTAGATTGAAATATATTTTTATATGAATAAACGTAACTAGCATTGCAAACATAGAATAACAGAATATTTCCACTGAAAGTTTTGGTTTCTACAAGACATTACATGATAGATCTACGAGAAAAAAAATGAATATCAAATTTATAATCAACATCAAAAGTCACCTCGAACTGAATGCCTTTTTGTTGATAAAATCGATTAGACACTACAAAATGTTCTCTTTTAAGATTTTTACTATGAAAATGATTAGGTTACATCTCTCTTTGAATTTTAACAGTTAGAAAA